TTGGGTTCTGTCTGATCGTTTGGAGGAAGGGTTCGAGGGCAAGGACGAAGAGCAAAGGAGATAGCGGGCAACCCTGTCTAGTGCCATTCCTGATTGGGAAGGGGTCTGTGAGTGCTCCGTTAACACAAAGTCTGGCTGTGGGGCAGGAGTATAGGGACTTGATCCAGTTCATGATGTACTGGCCTATCCCTATCTTTTGTAGGACAGAAAACAAGTAGTCCCAGTTTACTCTGTCGAAGGCTTTCTCTGCGTCTGTAGTAAACAGGAGGAGGCCCTGTGAGGTCAAGGTAGAGTGGTGTAGCATCGCTAGGGCTCATATAGTATTGTCCCTTGCCTCCCTTCTTGGAACAAATCCCACTTGGTCTCCATGTATGAGACCCGGTAGGTGTTGTTGGAGTCTCATGGACAGTATTTTGGTAAATAATTTCAGATCGCAGTTTAGTAATGAGATGGGCCTGTAGTTAGTGCACCGTTCTGCGTCCTTGCCTTCTTTTGGGATCAGTGAAATGTTGGCTGCTAGTGTTGCGTCATGGTGCTTCCTTCCCTGAGCGAGTTGTATGCTTTCAAAAATTGTGGTGTGAGTATGTCTGCGTATTTTTTATAGTAGACCACAGACAGGCCATCTGGTCCTGGGCATTTCCCTGTCTTTGTGAGTTTAAGGCTAAGGCTAGTTCTTCTGTCGTGAGGGGCTCGTCTAACTCTTGAATCGCCTCTGCAGGGAGGCGTTTATCTAGGTGACGGTCTAGGTATTCCTTAATATCAGTCTTGTGTTTACTTCTGGGTGGGGTTGCCTGTTGTGTGGATAATGAGTATAAGTCAGAGTAGTATCCCTGAAGGACTGCGGCTATATCTGTGGGTAAGAGTTTCAGTCTGTTATGTTTGTCTCTGATTTTGGGTATGTATGCGTTCGCTCGCCTTTTGGCTGTCATTCGGGCCAGTAAGGACACGCATTTGTCTGCGTTAACAAAGAATAATGTTTTTGTTTGTGTGACCATTTTCTGGTAGGAGCAGTGTCGAGAGTTCTCTACGTAAGGTCGTCAGTTTGCGCCAGTCGTCAGGTTGCGCCGTCTGTTTGTGGGTCCCCTCAACTTGGTGGATTTCCTGTAAAAGGTGTGCTAGACATGCCTTTCATTCTCTTTTAATCGCAGAGCCTTTTGCTATTAGTGCCCCTCTTATGACACATTTGTGGGCCTCCCAGAGGCACATTGGTGTTGTTTCTTCTCTATCGTTTTCTTCAAAGTATGTCGTGAGGGAGGTACAAATCTCTTGGAGAGTCAGTGGATCTGTCAGTAGGGATTCATTGAGTCTCCAGTTCATCATTGTGGGCGAATACAGTGGGGATGACAGGGTCATCATTAGTGGGGCATGGTCGGACCACGTTGTAGTGCCTATGCGGATGGTCTGTAAGTCTGTTAAATAATAGTGGGGGAGTAGGAAATAATCTAGGCAGGAGTATGATTGGTTAGGGGTTGAGAAGAAAGTAAAGTCCTTGTCTTCGGGGTGTGTGGCCCTCCAGCAGTCCACTAGTCTGTGGTCTCGTAGGGAATTGTTTATGGTTTGTAAGATGTGTGCGGGTACTGCGGAGGTTCCTGTGGATGTGTCTAGTCGTGAGTGTAGAGCAACATTAAGATCTCCCCCAATGATGAGGCACCCTTCAGTGAATCCCTCAATCGCTCGTAGGGTTGATTTTATAAATCGGGCTTGTTTGGTGTTGGGTACATATAAGTTGAGCAGTGTGTAAGGCTTGGTTAGCACCCTTCCCTTAACACATACATATCTCCCTCCTTTATCTACCAGAGTTTCTTTGTGTTGGAAATGAAGAGATTTATGTAGCAAGATGGCAGTGCCCTTGGATTTCCCGTCTGGGTTGTTACTCGTGAAGCATTGTGTGTAGCGGTTATTTGTCAATTTGGGAGCGTGTCCTTCCCAGAAGTGTGTCTCTTGGATGAACACTATGTGTGATTTAAGGCTATGGAAGTAGTTAAGAGCTCGGGATCGTTTTTCGGGTATATTTAGGCCTTTAGTGTTTATGGATAGGAGATTGATGGGTGCCATTTGGTAGGTCTGGGTATTCGCCATTTCGCTGTTGTAACTAGTAGCGTTAGTTGTGTGTGAAGTGAGGGTAGATAGACTTTAGTGTCGTTGCGGGAGAGAGCATCTTACGGGGATGCGAGAGGGGGTTTTAAAGGCGTGTATTGGAGCCCGAATGTGGGCCTGGAAATTGGGTCGGGTAAATCTGTCAGGTCCCTGCGCAGGGAGGGCCCAGTCTCCACTGAGTGGAGTGTGAGCCGCGTGAACCAGTGTTTGGTAAGGTAACGGGTGGCTGAGGGGGTCCGGTCTGGCATCCGCTCCAGTTGAGAACCAGGGGCCGCCCCCTCGCTATAGTGACACCTCAACCAATGGGGTACCATGGCCAAGTGGTGTTTACATGTAGGTTATAAAACAACAGTGTATAATTGGAGAACAACAACAATTACGTTTAGACAAACAGAACAAATTCAATACACATCAATCAATCCCCTTTCCCCATTTTGCTTATATTATCCTAAGCCGGTTTACAATGTGCGAACAGTGCAATCTGTGTAACCATTAGTAAAGAACACAGGGAAGAAGATACAGAGGGCGTATGACTATTGGTATGTGAGCAGTAAAGGGTAGTGGACAGGTCTCCCGTGTCTAGATCCCTCCCCTACTGAACCCCCGTTGTCTCTGCATGTATAATTCGTCCAGTCTTGTGTTATTCAGGGCTGTCTCCGTCATCTATGTGTACCTGTGGGTCGGTTCCAACTTAGAATTCGGGTGTAGTGAGTTTGTCTCACTTGTCCCCTCCTGTGTTGTCTGGTTATTATTTTATGTTATCATTTTAGGAGGGTCCAAGTTTGTCCTAAGGTGTCTCATAGTAAGAGTACCGGTTGCGTGTATGTGTGTCGGGATAAAATACAGTGATAGAGTATGCTTAGGACATCATACTTGTAAAGTTTCTCCCCCTCCCACCATAGTGCAAGTTATATTACAACCCAAAGAATCAGGGCGAGGACCCTCGTTAGAGTTCACTGTCCTTTTGGGGGTCTGTAGTCTCGTTGTCTGCACAGTCAGCATGAGGTGCATGCTGGTCTTGTGGATTCTTGTCTGGATCTGTTCCTTCGCTGTGCATGTGCCAGGTCAATCTGGGGTGGTGGAGGTGGTTTATAGAAGTCCAGCGGATCAGGCCAGCGCATGTTGATTGGTGGGAGTTACAGAAGGTTAGAGATCTCTATGTAGTCTCGATGTCCCCGTATCGGTCTAGGGCCTTCAGGTGTGAAGAGAAATATGCCAGACGGGAAGATCAACCTGTATCGTATTTTCTGCAAGATCAGGAACGTGTCAGCGGTTTCAGCGCTCTCCTGTATTTTAGTGTGGCGGGACTGAGATCGGGGTATAGTTGCAGAGTATGTTGGTGAAATCTGATGTCTCCATTCTCGCATGCCGCTTGCAAGATCTCCTCTTTCAGGGTATAGCTGGAGAGGCAGCAAATAACATCTCTGGGGGGGCTGTCAGGTGGTCCCTTCGGCCGGAGAGCCCTGTGTGCACGTGTAAATTCAAGATGCCATTAAATATCGTGGCTAGTACCTCACGGAGGTGTTTTGGGGAGTCTTCTTGCTCTGGCAAGCCGCGCAGGCGGAGGTTTTGGCGACATCCCCTGTTGTCCAGATCTTCTAGGTGTAGAGCCATCTGTTGTAGCTGTGTGGTCTGGCAGTCTAATGTGGCTGTTGTGGCTGCTTGAGCTGTCACCAGGTTGTCATGGTCAGCTTCCACTCTTGCCATGCGGTCAGTGAGGCCCTGTATATCTGCTCTTATGAGCTCTAGGTCTGCTCTAATGGAGGTTTGCAGTGCTGTCTTTGCAGTCAGCAGATCTTTTTTTTTGCCAATCTTTATTTTATTGAGGCAGAGTGATAAACACATATAGCGTAAATTGAGAATTAACAGAATCGTGTAATCAAGGCAAGATAAAACATTCAACCGTAAAGTGCCTCGTTTAAATTTTTGTCTTCGTGCGTGTCTGTGAGGATGTGTGATATGTTTGGTAATGTATAGTTGCGAGGTGTGTAGGTACCACTGGGTTGAGTGGTTTGCTAGGTCAGTTGTCGCTAGGTAGTCGGGTCTGACTTTGTCGTTGTGACACCATCATAAGTGTGGTTTGTGGTACCTGTTGCGTTGTGTAGCAGATGTCTTACCCCTAATCAAGGAGGCCTGCGGCTGGGTATGGGCTCAGCTTGGTAAGTTGGGACGTTAGTGTGGGAGTGGGTCGTTTGAGGGGTTAGAGACTGTGGGTTTAGTCGTGGCTCGAGTATTCCGAGGACGTTCCACAGTGTGTGAGGCGTGTGGATAAAGCTTATTTGTGGTTAAGGCAACTGTTATCATGGTAAGCAGTGGTAAAGGAAACAAAAGAAGAGTAATAACAGCTTTAGGCAGCGTAGGGTATTAGATCTCTGCGTCTGATGTCTCTCCCTCTTCCAGTGCTTGAAGAGTCTGTCTAGCTGGTGCGTTGGGCTGTGCGTTGGCAAGAGTCCCAGGTGCCTCTGGGTGTATGCTCAGTTCCAGTGTTTGAAGGAATGCTGCTGCATCTGTTGTGGAGGTGAGTCTTAGAGTCCTGCCATCTGCTGTTGTGGCCGTGAGAGCTCTCGGCAGTTGCCAACGATATTCCACTCCGGTTGCCCTCAGTTGGCTTGTGATTGCCCCTAGAGATTTCCGCCATTGCAGGGTATTCCTGGAAAGATCTTGGAAAAAAGTCAGTTTGGATGACTCAAAGTCCATGGGGGTTTTGCCCTTCACGGCTGCTAAGAAGCGGTTCCTGTCCGACACCGAGTGGCAGTGTACTATTATGTCATGAGTGGCTTCCGTGGGAGCCTGTCTAGATTTGTTGATCTTGTAGCAGCCATCAAACTGTAGTTTTTTAGCCTGTGAGTGTGGGAGGATCGTTTCTACCAGTCGCTGTACGTAGTGTAGCAACTCTGTCTGGCTTATTGTATCCGGAACACCTCGGACTTTGATATTGGGTAGTCTGTTGCGGTCCTCAGTGATACCCGCTGTGTCAGGGAAGTATGGGAGTGCTGTAGGCTGTGCATTTGGTCCCTCATTTCACGTACCTCCCATTGGAGCTCCGTAACAGTGTTCTCTGTGACTTGCGTGCGGGCCTCCATCGCCTTCACATCACTGCGCAGCTCCCTTAGGAGGTTGGCGATGTCTTGAGCGTGAGGGTCCTGTTCAGTCAGTGCCTCCAGGAAAGTCGTGGGAACATTGGCGTCCCCGGTTGCGTTTAGGGCGGCTGGCGGTTTTGCTTTGTGCACGCCAGTGTCTGGCTGGGCCGCCATCTTGGGTGTCATCGGGCGCTGTAGCATCGCCCCTATATTGTGGGAGTCCTTGCTGGGGCCAGCCTGAGGTTTCTGGGTCCTGCACCCCATGATGTCTGTGTTCTGTGGAGGCCTGTCAGGTAGCCAGGGGGAGCTGTAGAGCTCTAAAAGTTCGTCTTCCAAGTCCTGTGCTGCAGCCTGGTAGGTCTTGTACCCAGGGTAGGCCCCGGATTTGCGCCGGGTTTTCCCGCCCGATTTCAGGTACAGGAAAGGCATATGCCTATTGCTCACCCTTTCTGGAGTATGGTGGGTGCCTTCTCAGCAGATCTTCTTTTGTGGGCAGTGCTCTTATTAGGGCTCCCCAATCAAGTGGAGGAGATGGAGGGATTTCCCCTCTGCTGGAGACCGGTGAGGTTGGTGTGGAGGGGTCCGACATGTTGCAGGCCTCTGAGGCCACGTGGGAGGTTAGTGCTGTCGGTGTTGTCAGGTACTGCTGCATGGAGGCAGTTATTTGAGCCTGACGTGACACTGATTGCCTGGGGGTGCTTGCTGCTCTGGAGTTCTTCCCCATGGTTGGCTTTGGCTGCTTTTAGAGTTGCTGGGGATAGTGAGGGAGTGAGGAGATCCGGTTTAAGCCTCCATTGCTGTCGGCAGCTCGGCCATGCCCCCTATATACATATTTTTTAATAAACCTTTATTCATAATTCTACCTTTTTTTTTACTGAGTCACTGACTAGTATTAATACTCAACTTTGACACAAGACAATTGGGGCTTTTCACACAGTTGGGGCTAGAATGATCCCCATATATGTGACTTTGAAAGACAACAGTTTGACATCCGTACTGCTAACTGTAAATAAACACTAATATTTACACAGATTTTAAAATGTTGATATTAATAAAGTGGCGGGAAGAAACATAAGTAGGAAAAGTATTAAACAAGAACATATATAAAATATTGTAATAGTCTTTTTTTGCATAATTTTATATACTGTTATGTTTAATAATGTGAATGGTATGGTATTTGTTTTATAAATCATTTGCAAATGTAAATTTTTTTGTATGTGTTTACTAAAGAGAGAATTGTTGGAAATTCAAAGTTTATTGCGTGGCTTGAGAAAAAAATATTTGCATTTCTCAAGCTCTTTTGTGAATCAGGAGCTACTGATGTACTTAGAGCATCAGCTGTCACAGCCAATCAACAATGTCCCTTGACCAAGGCTTTATAGATTCTAAACAGTGGATGGACAGGGGGCAGTGTGATTGGGCACTGAATACTGGACTTTGGGGGTTAAACCATTCATAAATAAAACCTATGTTCCTGTCCAGTTAACCAGAGAGGAAAATAATCGACTATCCAAATTATTCCTAATGGCCTCCCCTACCTAAAGCAGAGTTTATACTAAAAGTACATAACAACGTGTTGATGGTTAAATTAACTACAATGGTCCACCATAAGTTACCTAATTTCCATACAACATGGGCTCCATGGATTGATTTTAGTCATCAGCTTCCATGATACGCTCTGTTTGAGGTTCTGGTTGAGGCACATCATTCCCCCTCTCGCCCTACTTTTCCTTCCTTACACTCCCTTACCTTTCATGTGTAGCATCTTCTGCCTTGTTTCATTCCTTCTCATTTTTCTCTCTCTTTTATATATTTAGTTTTTTATAACTCCCTTGGTTTTCTATTTCATTACACTTATAGAAAAGGCTTATATTTTCATTATTTGAGTATGTAGTTCAGGGCTCTTGTGTTTTATAGCCTTGATGTTGAATGTAATATTCTTCTCTGATGTCCTGATTGTTTTCTTGTGTATGCCCACTAAAGAATTATAAAAACTATAGAGGGTTATTTTTTGAAAATACCTTCCCCTTATTGGTTTAGTCTTTTAGTCATTGCAACCTAAGAGTAATAGCATTGTTTTATTAAGAACAAACGGTCCTTTTTCCTTGGAGGTACAGTGAACAAGCATCTCCTTTAGCTCTGTCAGTGTCAGGAAAGCTGTGATAAAAGCTTTGTCAAGCCCTTGTCCGATATTGTGCATGTTCCCAGTGGCGTACACATGACCCATGGGGCCCCGGTGCGAAAATTGATCCGTGGGCCCCCCCCGCACTTACTCGGCGCGGGTTGGGGCCGCAACACATGGCGGCGGGCACCTGGTCGCAGGGGTTGCAGGGCTGCGACCCCGCGACCGCGGTATGCACACTCACTTAAAGGACCACTACAGACACCCAGATCACATCAGCTCAATTAAGTGGTCTGGGTGCCAGGTCCCTCTAGTTTTAACCCTGCAGCTGAAAACATAGCAGTTTCAGAGAAACGGCTATGTTTCACTGAGGGTTAATCCAGCCTCTGGTGGCTGTCTCATTGACAGCTGCTAGAGGAGCTTCTGCGATTCTCACTGTGAAAATTGAGTAATGCTTTCCTATGGGCGGTTTAAATGCGCGTGCGCGCCTCTTGCCACGCATGTGTATTCGGAGCTGAGAGGCGGAGGGATCCCCAGCGCCAAGGGAGTCCGACGCTGGAGAAAGGTAAATGCTGAAGACAAACACACACACTCTCACAAACAGACGCATACACACTAGCTAACAGACACACACATTTACTGACAGAGACACACTCAGTGACAGACATACATACACACTCACTTACAAAACATACACTTTCACTGACAAACACACTCACTAACAGACATCAAACACACTCAGTAACACACTCACTAGCAGACACACACCCAATAACAGACACACTCACACTAACACAAACACACAAACACACTAACACAAACAAACACACTAACAAAAACAAACACACTAACACAAACACACACACTAACACAAACACACACACTAACACACAAACACAAAAATACACACTAAAACACAAACACACACACACACACACACACTAACACACAAACACACACACGCAACACACAACACACACACACACACACACACACTAACACACACACACACTAACACACACACACACACACACTAACACACACACACACTAACACACACACACACACACACTAACACACACACAAATTTTTTTTTAAATTTAATCCCCCAGCCTCCTTACCTTTTGGAGTGCTGGGGGGATTCCCTGGGGTCTAGTGGTGGTGCTGCTGGGCTCCTGGGGCTCCTGGGTGACCGGCGCGCGAGGGAGCACTCTGCTCTGAGTGCTTCCTCTTCCGCTCCCTCGCGCACCGCACTGATACGGAGCCGGAAGATGACGTCATCTTCCGGCTCCGGCATCCGTATGCGGCGCGCGAGGGAGCGGAAGAGGAAGCACTCAGAGCAGAGTGCTCCCTCGCGCGCCCTCCTGCCTGCCTGCCCGGTGACAGCAGGGCCAGCCTCGGGGGGCCCTGAGGTGGCCGGCTCCTGGGCCCCCCAGGAGAAGAGGCTGGCCCTGTGGGTACATACAGGGTCGCAGGGGCGGCCCGGCCCCCTGGTGGGCCAGGCCCGGTCGCAGCCGCGACCCCTGCGACCCTGGTATGTACGACACTGCATGTTCCCATCATGTTGCCAAACAGCTCTGATGCGTCGAGGCATGGACTCCAAAATACCTCTGAACCTGTCCTGTTTTAGTGACTGCACCAATTATCAAGTGCAATCTGGGCAATAATATTAGTGGTTTGGGTCATCATCCTCACGACTGTACCAGCCGGTACTAAACTTAAAACAGATAACAAGCTTTTGAGTTTCCTGACTTCCCAGCAACTGCAGCAGCTCCAACAGCAAGATCAAGCCACCCAGTTTTCATAGGAATCGTCCCAGCTCCACATCTGTCTGTCTATTTGTCTGTCTGTCTAATCTATCTATCTTCTCTCTCAGGGTTAGTCATTCCACCTGTCAGATGTCCATGTTTGTTTCCAAGTCATCAAACCCTGACCTAGGATTTGGTCACAGGTTATCCAGTCATGCTAAATCCCAAGAGTGGTGCACCACCATTTCACCTAGCAGTAAACCCGATTCTAGAATGCTCTGTTCTGCGATCCCCAGATAACAGTAATATTTGTTTAATCTCTTTGTAGCCAAAAGGGAAATGAAAAACATGTCTTTGAGGAATAAATACGTGGCATGTGAGACTTCCTCATTTGGAGGAATACAATATATTTGTGGTTAATATGTTATGCTATGGAATCTAATGTTAAATATATTTAAGAATAAACCTGTCCTGTGGTATCTGGCACCAGTCCTATAAGTTGCGAGATGGGACCTTTGTGGATCAAATTTATTTTTCAAGCACATCCCACAGATGTTCAATTGGCTTGAGATCTAGGGAATTTGGAGGCCAAGGCAACAGCTTGAGCTCTTTGTCATGTTCCTTAAACTTTTCCTGAACAATGTGGCAGGGCCCATTATCCTGCTGAAAGAGGCCACTACCCTCAGGGAACAATATTGCCATAAAGGGGTGTAGGTAGTCTGCAGCAAGGTGGTACATGAAGACAGAACCAAATGTTTTCCAGCAGACCATTTCCCGGACTGTAGCACTACCTCCACTGGTCTCCCATCTACCCATAGTTCATCCTTGCACCCGGCCATCCACCTGATCTAAAACAAAACGTGATTCATCAGACCAGGCAACTTTCTTCCATTGCTCCATGGTCCAGTTCTGACGTTCACGTCTCCATTGAAAGTGCTTTAAGCCATGGTCAGGGGTCATTCTTACCAGTCTGTACTATACAGCTCCATATGCAGCAAACGGCAATGCACTGTGTGTTCTGGTACCTTTCCATCAAGGCCAGCATTACATTTTTAACAATTTGAGCTACAGTAGCTCTGTGTGATTGGACCCGACTGGCTAGCCTTTGCTTCCCACGTGCATCAATGAGCCCTGGGTGACAATATCCTTCTTTACACCACTTTTGGTAGGTACTAACCACTGCATGCATACCAGGAACACCTCACAAGACTTGTTGTCTAGCCATCACTATTTGTCCCTTGTCCAAGTCACTCAGATCTTTTTGCATGAAATTCAAGAATTGACTGTTCACTTCATGTCTAATATATCACATCCCTTGACAGATGCCATTGTAACAAAATAATCAATTTTATTAACTTCACCTGTCAGTAGTTTTAATTTTGAGGCTGTTCACTGTATCTGTCTGTCTGTCCATCTGTCCGTCCACCGTATTATATATTATTTTATAGGTAATGTAAATCTACAGATATCTTAAAAAGGATCTTTCACTCTGTTAGAATTTCTTCTTTTACATATCCCAGTAAAACCTATTAAAGAGTGATGTGTGCAATGAAAGCAAG